GGCAAATTGTGCCAATTTCCTTGTGCCACCTGCCAACCATATATACATAATTACTGAAAATCAGTTACCTCTAGCCAACCATCTTCTTACAGTTGCCTAAAATCGGTTCAGCCAAAATTATTGGTTGGTCGTAAATGGCATAACTGGTGGTTGCAAATAAGCTACAAAAAAAAACAGCTCAAGACTATGCACCGACTCGTAAACAACAAACTAGAAAAGGGGAAAAAAAGTTTTTGCCGCTATTTTTCAATTGATGATAAGCCAATATAATCATGACTTAAAAAATTAAAATGGAAATCAAATCAAAACTTAATAAGCCAACAACAATTGTCAACAAACATAATCCAAATAGTTATAAGTTTACAAACTCAAAAGTCTAACTAATATAATTGTCTAAATTCAATTGTAGCAACTAATGCATAAACAAAAAAAAAATCAAAACTCAAAAATATGGTTCTGGTTATAAGATCTCCTTATAACTAGGGAGGTGTGCGTTGAAGAGAAGAAGACAACTGAGAGATCAAGGTTGCTCGAAGTCGTGCAAGAGTTAGAAAAAAAAAACTGAACAACCTTTATTTTTTAAACCCTAAAACTGAGGAGTCAAGCATGTAAAAAATACCTAAAATATCTAAATAGAAAAAGAAATATATATATATATAATCCAATAATTATATTGGTCGATATGGTATATCGCCGGTGTACAAAATCCAATATCAAAAATATCTAAATACCTAAAATATCGTCGGTATATAAAATATTATATATATATATATATATATATATATATATAATCCAATAATTATATATAAAAAATACCTAAACCATCTAAATAGAAAATATATTGGTCGGTATGGCATATTGCCGGTATACAAAATCCAATACCAAAGCCATACCATTAATTGTCAGTTAGGTATAAAGCCAACCGATTATGAAAAAATGTCAAAACTATACCATACCTTTATGAACCGACCAATATGGTTCGGTCGGTAAAAAGTGATAAGCTTTTAACCTTCGGAAGAAAATGTTTTTTTTGTATTCAATTTTTTTTTTTCACAAACGATATTATCTACACTAAAGGAGACGGGGTGGATTTAGCCTCACAATGGACTAACAATAATGTGGTTCAAATTCGCCTTTAGCGAAAATCGAACCTAAGACCTCTCACTTATAAATGAAGAAGAATACTATTAAACCGTAGTACATTATTTGTTAAATGAAATGAATTTGTAACTTTCAGAAATGATGAATGTAAGTACATTATTTGTTAAAAAAAAATAAATTCAAGATACCAAACTGGCCTAAGTTTCTTTTCTAATAAGATGTTCATATTAACTTGTAATGTCAGTATTTGTGACTTTGTATGATTTCTTTTCGTGATTATGATCATTTTTTTAATATTTGATAACAGAAAGTTAATTTTTTTATTTGTTAGTGATTTTTTGTTACAAAAAAATCAATTAAAAACACAATAAATTCATCCTTAGAGGCTGAGCTAACATTGAATATCTCATAATATAACGTAAAAGAAATGCTAAGGAGACTCTCTCAAAATAAAACTCTCTATGAACTATCTATCATCTTATCCCTTTGGCACAAGAATTGTGCCAAAAAAATGAAGTGACAGATAGTTTATAAAGAGTCTGCTTAGTACTTCTCATAACGTAATTAGCCTTTTAGCCAGTATAAAAGCAAACAACTTGATTGAGGATCCTCTTCAGTCCTGTGATCTTTTAATCATGTCCGTTCATACATCGTGCAATTAGAATTCATTTAGAATTTTTTTTATTTACAATTAAATACAAACAGTACTTGACGAAAACTAATCATATGATGTACGATTAAATGACATAATTAAAAGATTTTTGAAATCCTCACAAAGATGACCCGCAGAGTATCCTCGTTCAAACAACTCTTCGTGGGACAGATTGGTCAAAATGATGTCCAAGTAATAAGTGCATTGACCGCTTTTGGAACATTCAAATATAAACGCTGCAATCATATGGCTCATCACGTTTTCAATCATGTTTTCAATCATGTTTACTGACCAGAAAGATGCAATCATATGAAGATCTGATCGGTGAAAAATTACCTTTTTTGCTACAAATTGGGCTTTATTGCTTGAGATTTCACAGGCCTGGATTCATTCCTTTTGTTGATTAGGTTTTTATTGGCTCTCAAACCAAATACGCAACCAGGCCATGACCACCCTCTCAGCCCAATACTGTAGCTAGGCACAATTATGTTTTCATCCTAATTAGGGAAGAAGAGCGTTGCTCCTCGCACCCAAAAATTTGATCATCATACTCAGCAATTTCACAGGCCTGGAACTCCACGCTGCTGACATATCGAAGCTGGCCAACATGCTTGATGTAGATTTCCAAAGAGAATGACCACCAAACGATGATCTCCCTACTGAACGTGCCGTCTTCGTTGCCAGTCGAGTCGTCAAAGCCGGAGAGTGCGTTTCTGGATGCACAGACGAAGTCGGAGATGTAGGTGTTGAGAAAGCAGGAAGCAAAAGAGGAAGCCGGAGGAGAAGAAAAGTTGGGACTGAATGATTCCCAAGCAGAGAAGCAGCCAGCATGAAGAAAGAGAGAACGGAGACGAACGTGAATGTGAATGTAAATCTGAACATGAGCAAAGGACAAACGGAGCTGCGCTACCCGATTCAACAATCAGGTCAATACCCGTTCCCGCCAGTTTAGTGAAAGGAAATAGCCGCACTCCGCAGTTGGGAAGTCAGTAGCATGGAATTCTAACGGGTAAGGGAGGGGGCCTCGTGCTGACTACATCAGCAGTTTACAAACAAATTGACGGACAAGCAAACAATGTCTAACATTGCAACGAATTTATAAGTTGATGTTTGACATTTCAATATTCAAAAGATACGGTATGTATTTGCTATGTGACCCAAAGTTGAGCTGGTAAAAGTAATTTGTTAATCTCAGTTTACTACTCTGAAGTTTAGTGGTTTTCAACATTTGGTACATGAAGTTTTTTTCATCCCAGAGTCATACCTCAAGTCTTAATTTTGGGACAGTTTCATACATCAGTTAAGTTTTCTGTCAGAACCTCCGTTAACTGATGGTGTGGCGCCTACATAGACAATGACTTGGCGCCACGTGTCAATTTGGACCCACATAAATATTAAAAAATTAAAAACTTAAAAAAAATTAAAAAAATTAACTTTTTTGGGCATCCTTCCCCCCTCCTTCCCGACCCATTACCTTATTCTCCCTCCCTTCTCTTCCACACACCCACCCATCTACCCCACTCCCTCCCCCTCCCTTCTATCCTTAGCACCCACCCAAGTACCTACCCCAACCTTTGTATGGTACCAACCCCTACCCTAGCTATCAGTCCCCAAAACAATATTTTTTTTTTCTGGGCCGCTCCTCACCCCCACGACCCCCTCCCTCCCTTCTTTCCTTTCTCTCCTTTGCACACACCTCGTGGACCCAGAGATCTGGATCGTCGGAGACGTAGTCGGGGCTGCTGACACTACTGGCTCACTCCTTTGTCGACACTTCTTCTTGTGATGAATATCGCAGAGGGTGCGTTTAATGGATCTAAGCCTGGTGAAGAGCGACGCCCCTATGGGTGGGATGATTGGATTGCTGGAGTTTGGGGGTGGAGCAGTGGATTCTAGCGAGGGAGGGGGCGGTTGTTAACCTGAGCGAGGGAGGGGGGCGGTTGTTAACCTGAGCGAGGAATGAGGGAAGATGCGCTGGAGGAGAGACCTGATCTGGGACTTGGGCTAGTGGATAAGTGGCGGTGGGTTAGAGAAGAGGTCGTGGGCGGGAGAGCCGGTGAGCTTCTAAACAACGTCGCAGAAGTGGGAGAGAGACAAAGGAAGAAAGGAAGAGGAAGGAAAAAAAATTGAATTTTTAACTTTTTATTTTTTTTTAATTTTTTAATATTTAAGAGAGTCCAAATTGACACATGGCGTCAAGTCATTGTCTATGTAGACGCCACGTCATCAGTTAATGGAGGTTCTGACGGAAAACTTAACGGATGTACGAAACTGTCTCAAAATTAAAACTTGAGGTATGACTCTGGGATGAAAAAAACTTCATGAACCAAATGTTGAAAACCACGAAACATCAGGGTAGTAAACTGAGATTAACCATTTTTTTTTTTAATGTTTAAAATTTGGGTGAAGAAGTTGGTCATGCCATGTCATCATTTAACGACCAAATTAGGATTTGATTTTTGTTCTTGTTCCTGCTCTAACCTCATTTATAGATTTTATTTTTAGTTTTTCTAATCAACCTAGATAACAAGTTAATTGAATTTATCTACTTATATGACAAATTCTTTTTTATAATCAATATGTATCACAATTAATGTGTTTCGCTTGTAGGTATATCTGTTTTTGTATTTTTTAGTTAGGTTTCACATCCCGCGTATAGGTATTATACATTCATATATTTGTTACTTGAATTAGGATCATATGTTCTCTAGATTAATTTATGTTAATATATTAATTCTTTGTTAAAATATCATAAGTAGATTTTTTTTTGTTTTTGAAGAGAAACGATAATAATAAGTAGATTTATTGGATCTCAAAAAATGCATGAAATTAGAAAACTTTTATTTATCTCTAATATTTTAAAACTATAAATAAATATAACAGAAAAAAAAAAGTGAAAAAATTAATACTGAATTTAACCTAATAATCATGCTAATTTTTTTGGCCCAAAACTTAATGCACAACTTTTAAGTGTGGTCATCTAGTACTATGGTTTAATAGTACTTCTCTTCACTTGTAAGTAGAGGTCTTATGTGCGATTCTTGTCATTGACAAATTTGAATCATATTATTGTTAGCCAAATATAAGGCTAGGTCGACCATCTTCCTCTTCATTTAGATAATATCGTTTATTTAAAAAAAAAAAAAAAAAAAAAAAAAAAAAGCTTTTAGATGTGCATAGCAAGAAGCATCATTTATCCATTAGAAGGCCCTTTCTAATTCAAATCCTTTTTTATTAGACAAATCCACAAGCCCACAGAGAAAACTTGCACAACGGGCAGCCTCTAACCCCGTCCCGTTTGCTTCATAACTTATCCACCCAATAGTTGGACGCCACGTACCCAATTCCACAACGGACGCTGCTGCCTCCGTTTGCTTGGAAACCACACTAGCTAAAGGCGGTTCCTCCTTTAGCAGCCAGATATAAATACAACACCCCATCGCTCTCTCTGCGAATAAGCTTTCGACTTGCTTTCTTCGCGATCAGAGGTACGTGCAGGTTCTGAATCTTCGCTTTTTATTCAATCTTTTATCACCTAATATTAATCTTAATTGTTTTGCCAGAAATCTTTACTTTTCTTTTCTTAATTTTTCGAATCAGAAATGTTTTTGCTGTGATCATTAGCATCTTTACTGAAATAAATCTACGTTTAGCTTAATTTTGAATTGTTAATATTTCTGCCCTGATTGTTTTACCCGTTGTTGTACGGTGGACTGGTATGTTTTCCGGTGGTAGTTTCACCGTGGCATTTCGTCAAACACTTGGTGTGCGGTTTCTGTATTCATAATTGTGTAGCTCAAACATACTTTCCTCATATTTTATGTGGTAAATTTTGTGCAATTATTATGTTTTGTAATCAGACAATCAATATGGACCGTAAATTCAACAAAAATACTGTCTGATGTTATGATATCATGGGTATTGGTTTTTAAGTAATCTTAATTATGTGATCGGTGAGGGAAAATGATTGTGCTTGATCTGAATAAGTTGAAGAACTCTTTGCCTTTACATGGACGTGCTCCTTTTTTAAAAATTTGGGAAAGAGATGTCCCTGCTGCACAGATGTGATTGTAGAGGTTGTGGGATATTTGGGGTCTAAAACAATAATCAACCTTTGAATCTCATATTAGTGCGAGCGTAAGAAGATAAAACGAACTAGCCCACAGAAAAAGTTAACTTTTTGGAAGCTTTTATTTTACATTGGTCATTAGAGAGAGACATATAACTCGAGTGGTAGCAATTAGGGTTCTGAGGCCATCTGTGAATGCTTTCGTGGTACTTTTATATTCTTATGTAATATTTACTTGAAATTTGTTTGTTCCTAATTTATTTCCCCCCCACATTTATCTGTTGTTTGCACAAAATATCAATACATTCTTTCCAAATTGTTTGTTATGCCAATATATGGATCCAGCTGCTCTGATTCTGATTGGTTACAACTGAAAAGTTTGAATCAGTGTGCTTTCTGTTTGTATTTCGTTCTGTCTTGTATGTTTCTGGCACATAATTATGAACCAGTTATTGCATTTATGGTGTGCTTTTAAGAATTGATTGGCGTTGGTTCTGCTTCAGTTTTCTACCCTGAATATTGATGGTATAACTGAATTTGTTGAAGTGACTTGCTATGACTAGTCCTTGGATTTAGTTTGAAATGGATCGGTTTGCATTATTTTGAATTTGAAGGCCATCTGTCGTCTGTCTAGATCTTTTATAACGAATGACTAGCGTATCAGGTGCTACTGACAATGGAATCACAGAAAACTCAACATGAGCCATCACCGGCTGCTGCAAACCCAGCCGCCACTTCATGTCGAAAGAAGAAGAACGAACAAGCCACTTTCTTGGAGGATTTGAAGGATCATATTGATGATTTTGTAAATGCATCTATGGATGAACACAAAACTTGCTTCAAGAAGACCATGAACAAGGTTTGTTCCCAGTTCAAATTTAATGCTAATACAACCTATCTGCAACTTTTTTCGTTGCTCAATCGGTTTGCTTCTGTTTCTGATTCAATAATTTGCATTTGTTTTCAGATGTTTGGAATGTCAAAGATCGTCTCTAAGAGGAGTGCTGACACCAAGGAAGTTGAGAGTACTCTGCCCCTTCAAACCACAGTGGCAAAATAGGACATCTTCTCTTGCGTATTATAGGCATATATCTTGAGAACCAAACTTTGCTCCTGGCCTTAACCAATTAGATTTTTGTGATGTGTAATTTGTTAAAATTGTGGTACTGCACTGTCATTTTTACCAGTACGAAAACTTGAGTTTGTAGGTTAAGTGGCGACTATTATGAACTCGATTACATAGTGTCAACAACGATGTTACTTCTCGTGATTTACTCTTTTGCTATTCGGGTAGTTTTTAGTATGTAGTATGAGATTGCACAGGAGTGCATTTGTATAGCGAACTATGGTTTTGGTCCTTATAATTCGGACGAAGTTCCATATTTGTTCTATTAGTTTCAGTTACCGCAATTTAAACTCCATGGTTTACGTACTGTTGTACCTCAAGGACAAAGGCACAACTCCAATTATTTTAATTGAATTAGCATGTAAGGGTCGATTGAACCTGTTGGAGGTGTGGAATCCCCATGCACCTGCTTGGCTTGACGTGCTAATTACTTTGAAATAGTGACGAAACACCCAATGTTCTTGAATTGCAGCACGTATAAACCAAGTGATCTAATTGCGATGAGTGAAAAATGGAACTTCACACAAGCTACAAGGACCAAACTCATACCATTTGTAAGCTGTGCTTCGGGGAAGTTTTGGTCTATGGTTGGCCTCTATGGTGTTGGATGTCAGTTGTTCGAGTCCGCTTGCCTTCAAACACAAGCAGACACTAGATATTGTGGACAACCCTGAGGGCCGAGACCCGTCGATGTTTTGAATCTCCGTCAATATAGCTTTGGCTGATTCAGGTAAGGACAAAAACATCACTTGATCTCTAATTCAAGTAAGAACTACATCAAATGGTCCAAATGGTTAATTTAGGTCAATTGGTTTTCAAGGCTCGTGAAACTTGTAATGGAACGAGAACAACATCTGACCAATTGTGATTATAAATATACGAGGCAAATAATTATCTCATTGGTTGTAATTCTAAAATGTCTCCTTGAATCCAATCATTTCAGTTTATTTTAATCTATGCAAAAAATTAACTAAAATCGGAATGGTCTAGCTATCTAATGTTATCCAATAAATAGATGGACAATGTTTCTCACTCAAACACTGAAATTGTGATAACGTTAATTAAATGGTTAAACGATTTTTTTTATTTAGTTGACCTTTGCAGACTTAATCCTTAAAGAGTGATCTAAAAGTAGACAGTTTCCATCATTAAGCAACATTGTAGAGTAAGAGAAAAACTGAAAAGATAAAAATGAGAAAGTTGAAGTGAAAAATTTGCTAGCGTCCCCATATATCAATGTCAGTGAAATAATAGAAATGTATTTTAATGGAAACACATATATGAAGCTTTTGTATAATATATATATATATATATATATATATATATATATATGTGTGTGTGTGTGTGTGTGTGTGTGTGTGTGAAGCTTTAGGGCCTATTCATTAACATTTTGAAAAAAAAAATCGTTTTATGAATACAAAAAGGAGTGAAAAATGTGTTTGGCATTATATTTTGTGAAAATAAACTCAGAAAATAATAGAACATCAAATTGATGTTTCAATTTTTTTTTTTTAAGAAAAATATTATACAATAAAGTATACATTATTAAAAAAAAAATAGAGTTTTGATTAAAAAAAATTCCTATAGGTATGCCACCATTATCGTCATTATTGCCACCACTACCACAACATCCTTCATGGTCTAACCACCATCACTATCAACGCCACCATCTTTGACACTACTACCTCCCACCACCATCATATTATCCACTGTCATCACTCCTGCCCCCATGGGCATCACCACCTCCACCATCTCACCGTTGCGGCCACCGCCACCATCACCACCACCTTCTACCACCATCACCTCACTCTCCACCATATTTACCCTCACCATGGCCTCCATCAATTCCACCATCTCTACCACCATCATCCCGGCCACCATCTATCAACCACCATATTCACAATCATCCTTCATAATCACTGTTAACACAACTATTATTTGCCACTATTGTACCCAACACCGCCACCACCACCACCATCACTTCATCCACCATTGCCCCTTACCACACTATTGCCACCTCCTATATTCCTCCACTACTAAATCTCCATTGTCACCACTACTACCACCACACCAACTACTATTGCTACCAACATCACTTTCATCGTCTCAACCACCATCACTATTAAACACGAATTTATATTGTTTTGACATTTTTTATATTAGTTCCAAACACGATTTCAATGTTTTCATTTTTTAAAATCATTCTTGGATTAAACTATCAGACTCATTCTCATATCATAGAAATGCAAAATTGTATTTGTTGTTTTTGTTTTACAAAATAGCTCCTCAAAAATTGTTTTGTAAACCGATACTGGACGAACCCTTAGTGTTTTTTTTTTTTTTTTTGCTATAAGAAGAATGTACCAAATAGTAGATCTTTGAGGGAAAAACCGCTTGTGAAAAAAACCCTAGTGCTTCAATTGTGAGAAAACCCTAGTGCACCCACTCCCTTTAGGTCTGTGGGAAAGCGGTAACCCTCCCCTTCGCTCTTGCTTCCTCCATGCTTCCCACTTGCTTACTTCTCTCCCTTTCTCGTCATCTCTCCCATATCTTCCTCTTTCTTCTCTCTCTTGCCTTCTTTCCTTACTGGTTATACTACTTCATCTTTCACTAATGGTAACTTGCCCCATCTTTCCAAATATGGTGGCATGGCCCATTTATCCACTGATGGTGGGTCGCCTCAATTACCGATTTTTGGTGATGGTGGGCTTAAGATCGACCTATATTGGGCTTTTGATCCGTCTCCTTTCAGTTTTCGCTCATCTATTGGAGATTTTCGTTATACTGCACCAAATCCAAATTAGCCCCAAAGACATATAAAATCCCTAATCTTTACACATTACTAAGCATAACTGCTAGAACGACGAAGGGACAGCGGTCACGCAAAGGCAAATACGATCGTTGGAAACATTGGGCGGCGAAGAAGACGTCACACAAAGCTTGTGACATCAGACATTGCACGACGAAGGAAAGTGCTTTGTTGCATGAAATGAATGTTACGCGACGGATTTGGTGGTCTCTGCTCGAAACAAAGAGCGAAGTATGAGTGTTCGTTGCGCATGATACTTTGAGCGACGAAACTAGGGTTCGACCACTAGACCCTTGCACGACGGACATAAGTTGCAGTAAGATTTTAAAATTAATTTTTTTTAAATTAATTTTATTGTTGTAGACTTATTTGATTGAACGATCTTAGGTTTTAGAGAGAGAGAGGACCGGCGGCAATTAGAGAGAAATGAGAGAGTGATTTAATTGTGATGTGTGTTTGTATCACCCCATTGTGCCTTTATTTATAATAGTATGATAAGTAAAAACCTTTCCCTTTAGGATTACAACATATAATAGGTAATCAACTCCTAATAAGAATATAAGATACATTCTCATATATACTAGGATTTACACAATCATATTCCTATTCTAAATATGACTACAACACTCCCTCTTGAGTGTGTAAATACTCAACAAACTATCGTACAAGATCTTTGGCAGATAAGGTAGAATAGTTGATGAAGTTATCAGCACAACGGGTGAACGCGAGTCTCAAATTTAAGAAAGTATGCATTTGTAGTAAAACTCACAAAACCTCGCTGTGGTAAAACTCAAGGCATAGGGAAAACCCATAGACTAAGGAGAAAAGTGAGAAAAATACATAATGTCTAAAACAAATGTCAAACAGAACGAAAGTAGTGAACTCAATAGAGTATGATCATCCCATGATTGGTGCCTCGTTAAAACCTCGTTAAGTAGCAAAAACACAGTGGGAAAAATTGATGCGAAAATTAACTTAACACACAAATTAAACCCTCTTGTTGTCAAATTGTAGTACAAATGCAAGTACGGATCGTTCTAAACCGGGGATTAGAAGGGCTTGCTAAAACCTCTAAACTGACTTAAAAACATATAAACAAAGTTAAAAACACTAAACTAGACTCAAAGAACTTAAAACAAACTCAAAGGACTCAAAACAAGCTAAAAACGCTCAAATCTATCTAAAAACACAAACTGGGCAGATTTGGACTCTAACACACTTTTGGGACACCTAAAAACACAAATCAAAACAGATTTTGACTAATAAAACACTTTAAAGTAAATGGGGTTTTGGTTTTGACGAATTTGAAAACAAAACAAGTAAATTAAAGAACTAATGAAATCTGCACGAATTTGAGTAAATTGAATGGATGGAAGGCTAGCTAGGAGGTTCTTCTCCACACATGACATACTTGCACATAAACCAATTTTCAGTTGTTCTTTCGATCAATCATGAAACTCAACACCCCAGGTTAATTAAGTCCGCTTAAATTAATCTTCAAGTTCTCCTTAAGTTATTGAATTGGATGGGAAAGCGCATACAACAATTCAAGCATTCTTCAAAAGTTCTTTACGTGAACAACACAATAAAGATACAATCAAAGATCATTAAGCATTATGAAAACTATAAGTATTGACGAGGCATTCATTACTATGATGAGCATGAAACTTCTGCCAAGAATTTATTTAACGCGATCGTTTATAAGCGACCTCCACTACTTGTGAATATAAGTTTGTAACTATTAGGTGAAACTCCCTTATACTCTAGCATCATATTCATGCATGCAAACTAAGTGTGCACTCTTAATAAACATACAGGAATAAGTTATCAATCAAGCAGTTAAACAAATTGAATTCACAACTTATGAAAGCACAACTGAAGGTAATTAAATCATATTGCAAGCATGAACATGGTTTCGAATTCCCCCCTAGCTAAAGGGGGTTTAGTTCCTCATACTCACAAAGAAAAGATAAACAAATTTAGACATTAAAAAAAAGAATGAAAACACCTAAAAACGCTCCAACAATCCAACTTGAATGGCAAGCACGTCCAAGGGTCCTCCTTTTTCTTTTTGTTGCGGCACAAGGTGTGGTTTGATGGATAAGTGGTAAATTATGGTGGTGGATGGATATAGGTGAGTTATGGTGAAGGGTGGATGGGTGGATTGTGTTCTCTCGGCCAAGGAATGAAAGTGTAAGTGTATGGAGTTGTGAGATGTGAATGTAGTGTCTTTTGATGGATCTTTTTCTCCCTCCCTTGTTATGGTGAAGGGTGGATGTATTTATAGGCTAGGGAGAGGACTACCATCTAATTAAGGTGGTAGTGGTGTATGTTGTGGTAATGAGTGGATGTAATGGGTGTAGTGGGTGAATGTTTGGTAATGAGTGGGTGTAATGGGTGTAATGGATGGATGTTTGGTAATGAGTGGATGTAATGGGTGTAGTGGGTGAGTGTTTGGT